GCTTGAGTAGCTGTCCCGGGAAGCCAAGTCACGCTTGTCCACTGTGGCATCGTTGGATCGCATTAAGACCATACGGGCCCCAGAGAAGCTGGGGGACCGAGTTGGGGGTGTTTGTATGGAAGAACTTTGAGTCTCTTGTCTGAAGGCAGAACGGGAGGCCCGTGGAGACCCGAGGCTTTAGTCCCCCGGCCCCGGGCCCCGGCCATGCATTTCGTAGCTACATCCTCCTGGCCACACTGATTCCATCACCCCCTCCGGGACCTTTTATTATGCATCTTTGTTTTCTTTGTCCTCTTTACCCTTTGCCTCCTTAACTTGTGTTTAATTTGTGGTGAGGGTGCAAGAGGGGAAGAAGAGGGGGAAAAATTTTAATCCTACCTGGATCCCTGCCTTTCTCCCCTGCTTGTTTTTCAGCCCTCGGTAACTGAGGGCACGTCTTGGGCGGTCTTCAGACAACCAGAGGCATAATTTGTGGTCACCCTTGAAATTTACCCTGGACGCTCGGTCAGTACCCCGGCTCCTCGACTAAAGGTTATGCTTTCTGTTTACCAGAGGTTTTATCTTAAGTTCCCGGCAAGAGTAAAAATCTGCGCATCATTGTATATTTTTAAACATCTAACCTTGCCCTCCTCCTCCTCCTCCCCTAGAGACAATTGCTCGTGGATCCTCCTGTTTACAATGGCCCAGAGAACTGGACTCGAAGACCCAGAGAGGTACCTCTTTGTGGACAGGGCGGTCATCTACAACCCTGCCACCCAGGCCGATTGGACGGCTAAAAAGCTAGTGTGGATTCCATCCGAGCGTCACGGTTTTGAGGCAGCAAGTATAAAAGAGGAGAGGGGAGATGAGGTTATGGTGGAGTTGGCAGAGAACGGAAAGAAGGCGATGGTCAACAAAGACGATATTCAGAAGATGAACCCGCCCAAGTTTTCCAAGGTGGAGGATATGGCAGAATTGACTTGCTTGAACGAAGCTTCTGTCTTACACAACCTGAAGGACCGCTACTATTCAGGACTGATCTATGTGAGTACACCCTGCTGACTGCTCACGGGAATTAGTGTAAATTACATGTACCATCAGAGTCCAGTGAGATTGGGGACTACCCACCCTCTCTGTTTAACGTCACCGTTCGTCTTAAAGATAGATTGTGTCTTGCTTACTGAGTCTTGCCCCACTTTACATCTTCACATGTAATTTTACATAATCTGATGTGCAATTAAACTTACGAACGTGGTAGTTGAAGACTTCGTAGCGGTTTGCTGGAACATGATACGATGGGGAGAGCACGTGGCGGGAAGACCGGGGAGCTGGGTGTGGGGTAAGAGGTGCACGAATAGCAGGATACAGACGGCACACGGATGTCCAGGTGTGTGGCGTGGAACCAGGGCCGAGGATTCAGCGAAGAGCAAGAGCATCGGGGTCCCCGGGCGCGGGGAAGTGGGAAAGATGGACACTGAGGTTTTTCAGAGGAAACCGTTCAGAGCGGGATTGAGGCTGGGGTTGTCCTGTGCGTAGTGGTTGACATGTGGGTTCTTGTCATTGGCGATGCCACTGCCCTTGTGGAAGAAATTATTGAAAATACCAGGGGACAAGGGAGAATGGAAAAATGCAAGCCAGATACAGGAAAACTCTAGAATGACAAAATAGGTTTGAAGGGATGGTACACGCAGGTAGCAGCGATTTAAAAGAGGTCATAGAGGCCTTTGATGGAGAATGAAAACAAGCAGAGAGAAGAGTTGACGTTGTACTGGTCTGAATTTGGAAAAGAGCGGTTGGATTTTATGAAGGGGTGTGCAGTTGGGGCTCGCGATCATTCAGAACCTCTGCAAATCAGAACCAGTTTCCCCATAGAAATTAGCGTAGTTAGTGACTATTTATGGAGCACCTACTATGTTCTAGGTGCTGGGAGAGTGTGATGAACAGGACAGGCCAGGGCCCTGCCTTCCTGACACATCCTATAAGGCAATGAAGCCGGACTATGGGATATAGAGTAAGTAGGGGAACGGCTCTCCACAGTGGGCCCGTGAAGGGCTCTTGGAGAAGGTAGAGTTAGAGCTGGAATCTTTGGCCAGGGGAGGATCTGAGAACTCAAAGGTTCTTCCGTGACCTTTGTTAACGTAGGCACGGTCAAGCCTGATGGCCTCTCGTTTTTGTTTTTCCCTGTGAGGTCAGGTGCAAAGTGAGTAAGAGGCACCAGGGTTGGGAAGGTGGCTTGAAAAGGAAAAGGTTTGGAGAGGAGAAGCCACGAGTAAGGACATCACAGGGGAGCAGCCTTGAGAACCCGGCCGAGACCGCAGTGTGGGATGTGTGGGAGTGAGGGAGCACGATGGGTCCGATCACCGGCTGACCTCTCAGATTTGAGCCAGGGGTGAGTTTTGGGTGCCGCCTGGTGCTAGAAATGGACTCTGCCAGGGTTGTGGGGAACCGCAGTGTGGAAGGGAGCCAGGCACCCTTTCTGCCAGCTTTTTTACCTTGACTCCCCATTTTGGACCTTGCGGTTCCTGCAAGGAGGAGAGAGAAGAGAAATACAAAGGGGAAGGAGACTGTGGGCAAAAGAGAGGGAATAGAAGAAAAGACACTTTAGTTCATTTGTAGCCATGCCTCAAGATGATTCTAAGACTTTGCAAGTGTCTTTTATTGAGTTTGTTTGGTTTTTTTTTTTTTTCCCAGCTGAACTTGGGGACCCCAAATGATGTCTCAGGTTCTCGTCAAAGCATGGCCCCCCCCTTACTCTTTACAGAAGGACAGTCTGAGTTCTGGAAGCATTAAGGTCGCAGCAGAGCTGGGAATTTGGGGCAGTGGTGTGTGCAGTTAGTGGGGTGGAGGAAGGGTTCCCACCCAGGACTGGAGTTGGAGCACTTGACTGTAAAGAATCCTAGTAAGAGAGTGGGGCTGCAAGTAGCCACGATCGGGAGGGATGTGTACTGGGCGTTGGGATTCACCCGTCAGGTGAAGTGAAAAGTCAAGGTGCCATGTTGTAGACACCATAGTACCTTGCGGGGGTGGGGGGAACCTTTGGACACATTTCTAGAGATGAGCTCTAACGTATGTTCACTTAAATAAGTTACTTTGGTAACAGGTTTACTTTCGTTAGTTCCTTATATTTTTTTTGGATGGATTCTCCCTGGCTTCCCAACTTCTCAGGTCATTAATTTTCATCCTCTTTTCCTAATAAAAGCATTTGAAAACTGTAAATGTCTCTCCTCTAATACGATTTTAGCTCACCTCATACATTTGGATGCGTGGTGTTTTTATTACTGGGTCCTACATATTTTCTATTTTCTGTTATTTCTTCTTTAATCTATGAACCATTTAAAAGGGTACTTGAAAAATTTCTAAATGTGGGGTTTTTTTAAGTTATCTTTTTATTGCTGATTTTTGTTTTTATTTTTTGAAAGATTTTATTTATTTCTGAGAGAGCAGAGGGAAGGGCAGAGGCAGAGGGACAAGTAGACTCCCTGCTGAGTGTGGAGTTGACACTGGGCTTGATCCCAGGACCCAGAGATCATGACCTGAGCCAAAACCAAGAGTCAGATGTTCAACCGACTGAGCTTCCCAGGCGCCCCTTATTCCTGATTTTTAAATGAATTGTGTTGCATTCAAAGAATATAGTTCACATAATATCATTACTTGTTTTTGTTGAGACTTGCTGTGTGCAGTGTGTTGTCCGCTTTGATGGGCATTCTCTGTGTAAAGAGCATTAATTAATTCTGTTATTGTTGGTTATGGGGTTCTGTCTGTGGCCATCAGAGTAAGCTTTTTAATTCTGTTTAAATCTTCCTTGCTAATTTTTGTCTGCTTGGTCTATTAATTACTGAGAAGTATCTTAAAATCCCCCGGTGTATTTTATCAACTAAGTATGCATCACTAACCAATGTAGTTTATTTTTTCCTGTTTATGAACTTTTATATGAATGAATGAGTCTCACCTTGTATAACCTTGGTGTCTGCTTTTTCACTCAGCATTACATTTTTAAGGTTCGTCTGTATTGCTTTGTGTTGGTATAATTCAGAAGTTCTCAAAGTGTGGCCTGTGGGCCCTCAGGGTTTCCCTGAGACTCTTCCAGGGGATCCATGAGGTTTTAACTGTTCTCATGATGGTTTGAAGGCGTGATTTCCCCTTTCCGCTGTCAGTGTAGGTACTAATACTGGTGGGGAAAATGCGCGTGTCTTAACCGTGAAAAGAGGCAGTGACCCCAGGCTGTACTAGTGATCGTTTTAATCGTTTCACGTGAGAACGTCCTTGAGAAAGCAGGAGAAATGATTGATTTTATGAAATGTCAACCCTAGATTACACGTCTTTTTAATATACTGTGTGAGGGGCGCCTGGGTGGCTCAGTCGGTAAAGCGTCTGCCTTCGGCTCAGGTCATGATCTCAGGGTCCTGGGATCGAGCCCTGCGTCGGGCTCCACTCTCAGCAGGGAGTCTGCTTGTCCCTCC